AAGAGGTAATGGTAATCCTTCTCTTATAATGGTATGTCTTCATAAATAGGTCTCATATACCTAATATAAATATTTTCGAATTTCGTGGTGACTTGTRCCGAATATATCTATAAATATGCGAGTTATCCCTATGAAAATAGGAGGGCGTGTTTTATACATAACAGTGTATCTTTGTGTTAATAATAGATAAATTTGAGCGAAAGCTTGATCTAACCATTGCCACTTCCTCCACTATGAGGTTATAGTGCGAAAAGCACTAATTTTACTCTGCCACAATTCAATCAGTAGGGCTTCTGCCCTATCACACTAACAATTTCTTTCTTGTATTTTTGTYTTTCCATTTTTTAATATTAACTTCAAATACAAACTGTCAACTGTATATGGAATGTAAACAAATATAATACGAGTATCAAGTGACAATTTAGGGCCGGCAAACTATGTCTTCCAAAAAAATCGATTAAGCTAGAGCAGGCACCGATTATAATGAGTGGAATGTAAGTTTTCAAGTAGTTTTCAGGGGCGAGCCGCTATACCAAATTATAGCTTTATATCTTAATTTAGTCCTTAGTAATGGCACTTTATAAGTTAACAGCGATTTGTGGGCGTAGCAGTGATTTGATCCGGACCATAGGGAAGTTCGAATAGCAATTACCCACCTGAAGAACAACAAAGTGGCACTGGCCGATGGATTGACGGCCGAGCTATTCAAACACGGCGGCGTAGATCTGCTAAGAAACAAGCATCAGCTTGTGTGTAAAATATGGTCGAACAAAAACATGACCAACGATTGGAATTTAAGTGTACTCTGACCRATCCACAAAAATTAAGACCCCACAATCTGCGTCAACTACCGTGGTATAAGCCTCCTCAACATCGTGTATAAGCTTCTAAGCCCATCGTCAAAAAATTGATTGAACCTCCTCAGTGTGTATTTAAGCCYAGCAAATSAACAATCGACCAGATATTCACCATGCAAAAAATTTTGGAAAAGACCCGTGAATGGAAAATCGACACATACYACCTCTTCTTCGATTTTAAAGSTGCTTTCGACAGCACGAAAAGGAACAGCCTCTATGCCACGATGTCTCAATTTGGTATCCCCGAAAAACTAAAACGGCTGTGTTAACCGACGTTGAGTAACACCAAAA